TTATATGAATTGAGGACTACAGTGCAATGTGTGCAGTGACTAATGCTGATCGATAAATAATAAATAACTAATCAATATCAAAGCAGACAAGTTAATCCAAGCACTGGAGACCTTAAAAACAACCATTTGCTTTGGGTCTATAAACTGCTCTATTAAAATCATAAGTAAGTGAAAAGAAATTTTTAACTTCTGCAGGTATTCAATCCAAACGGTCTCTCAATTTTCACTCTGCAATGGTACTTTTCTAACGGTCTTCAGTCTCAAGTTGTGCAGCCCATGTAGTTAGTCACATACTGTTTTAAAGGGTAAGTTTATATCTTCAGTTGTTCCATTTATATAGGTTCTGATGTTTTAGTTAGTCAAAGACTGAGCTTTTTTTCTCAGAATCTCTACAAACTGGTATCAGTAAATGGACTTTTAAATTATTCTGATTCATTGCTCAGTTTAATGTAGAAGCTTAATCAAATTTGCTTTCAACTGAGCCAGTCTACAGTGGTTGTGTAGCCACAGTGAACCTTTTATTCACTTGTAAATATTTACATGACTGAGCCAGTATTTCTAATAGAAATGCAGACCAGGAACATACAGTACTGCATAACAGTAATTTTCCATCAGGAACATGTTAGCAGATGCCTTATTCTACACTAGATTCATCTTTGCTATTCAGTCAGCTTTAAGTGTTGGTTCTACAACTTTTCCCACCTTACCAGAAAAGCACTGTACTACAGGCTGTGCCGTCACAGCAGACATTTCGTTTGTGATGGAATTAGAATCTGGGTCTTGGGATTTGGAAGACTAAAATACTGCAAAGGAATCTAGTGTGAGAGCTTTGTGAGTGTCTTAAGGTGTGTGAAGTTATGTTTCTCACTTGTTTTCTTATATATGCTTTTGTTTCGTAATAACCTTCAGTTATAGTGCTAGTGGAGCTAACAAGATGTGGGAAATTGTGAGATAATTGAAACAGTGGAGTTCGTAGAGCAGGACTCAATTAGATAATATTGGTTTGTCTCATTTGTATTGTGGAATTTAAATTTCACCCGTTTAAGGAGATCTGTCTTCAACTTGAGACTGGGCTTTGAGAGGACTTCTTGTTAAAATAAATATTGTGATCTACACAGAGCTCTCATAGAACCACTTTGAAACAGTTGCCATCATTCCTGCAGTGTCTTTAGAAATGTAATCGGACAGATGGATGTGCTGGATTGGCACTGTAAGTGTCTTTGCGCTGAGAATAGTATCAATAGCTATTAATAACTTTGAAAGTCTCTACAGATAAATTAGTGAGTAGCGACCTTATAGCTGAGGAACACATGTTGTTAAAGTAAAAATAAAGGCTTACTAAGCATTGATTTTTGACTCTAACACGAACACATGGAATTTCAAAAATCACGTGCTTTAATAGTGAATTGTTTTCTTTGAAACTAATATTAAAAACAGATAATCACCACCGTACTGTGTCAGGATTTCTCTTGAATGTCAGAGTGACTGTGCTATGCATTTGTTTGCTTATTTTAAAAGTTTGTATCACTTGATAAAATAAAAAAATAATAATTATAGTCTCAATAATATGCAGGAAATTGAACCACCGAAATTCCTCTCTGTTGGAAAGGAGATTCTGAACCACATCTAAGAGAAACATTTGTGTTAAAACAATTATAATATATTTCACAAATGTTTTGTTCATGTGATTTTTGCCTCTAGAACACCATCAGTGCAAACTTCCTTGATGCATTTTTTTTCTTTGCTTGCCATCCATATTTCAATATAACTTAATTATGTCCTCTTTGGACGCTGCTGGGCTGGGTATTCAGTCCTTGTCATTGGTCCTGCTCTTGCATTAAAGTAGGAAATCAGAGGTTTTTATGTGTGTATTTCCTGTTAATTTCCCCTCATAAAGAATTACATCCTGCAAAGGTAGGTTCCTCAGGGCAATTTCAATTTTTTATTTATATGTATATGTTCTTCTGTTTCTTCTCTTTGCAAAGTGAAACTTTAGAAAGTATGTGCACAAAACGACAGGAAAACCATGGGTATATACATATTTTATGCTTTTCCCCTACATAACAGTAATTTTCTATCAGGAGCAGGTTAGCAGGTGCCTTATTCTACACTGGCTTCATCTTTGCTATTGAGTGCAAATTTAAGTGTTGGTTCTACAACTTTCCCCACCTTGCCAGAAAAGCACTGTACTACAGGCTGCGCCATCACAGCAGACATTTTATTTGTGATGGAATTAGAATCTGGGTCTTGGGATTTGAAAGACAAACGCATTAATCCCCTGAAAGGTTCAGTCAATCTCTGTCAATTCTAATCAGGTAAAGGCATTGGTCATTTTGCTTCAAAGCAGTTGGAGGGATTTTTTTAATTCAGGGAGGTGGCCTTTTTATTCCAAGTTTATTCCATCTTTCAGGTAATTATGTCCCTATTACATGTGAAAAACTGCAGGTTTTTATACACTCATATGTTCCCTTAAGCTATCACAGTTCTTTAATTCTCAGAAATCTTTTGTGGTCATCAGCACCAGCTAGTAAGTAGGACACAAAATTATGCTGGTTTTGCTAAAACAGGATGGGGATTGGGAGAGAGGAAGAGGTTGCAGTAGCTTAGAATGTTTATCACTTAAGCAGGTGACTTGAGAGAGTGAATTTATCTTAATTTCAAAGAAGGTATCTGTTGAGAACTTTGGAGCAAGGGTCTGCATATTACTGTGGTTTATGTGTGGTTTCCCACATCTTGTTAGCTCCACTAGCACTATAGCTATATATATAGCACTCTTGTTAGCTCCACTAGCACTATAGCTGAAGGTTATTACAAAATGAAAACATATATAAGCATGAACAGTCAGACTTACCAGGTAAAGTGAAATGAAATTGATTTTGTAATACCTTCTGTGCAGTAAGAATGGTATGTGGAGCTGATTTTAAATGGAGCAAGTTACTTTGCATTATCCAGGAGAGGCCTTGTGATGAAAAAGTTTCCAAGTCTAGCAAATTCTGGGGTGAATAGTAGCATGTTTTCTGATGCCACAGTATTAGTAAAAAATAATCATATGTGGAGTCTCCTGAATGCCCTTCATATAAATGTAAGGTGGTGGTCTCAGCACAATAGGAATTAGAATAAACCTTTTTACAATAGATTTGCTTCTGTTTTGGCCAGGACGTATCCAGAACTGACTTGCCTACTGTATTTCCTCTCATAGACTTGTCTCTGAGATGTGGTGGCTTGCTGTCTAAAAACCCTTTGCAGAGAGAGAAAGTAACAGGCTGAAACTGTGATATGGAAGTGCAGTGGCAGCTTCCCAGGTGCTCTTATGTTATTGTCCGAGTTAATGAAATATATCTCTTGGTTTTCTACAGTGAAGATCTTGAATTTGTAATACTTCTGGAAAGGAGGTGGAAGAACTGTCTATAGTACTGATGAGGTGGGACGAAAAGCCCAGTTGCAGCTGAGCTCTAATATAAGTTATCACTTCGTCTTTCCTTTCACCCTCTAGTGAATCCTCTCTCTTCCATCTAGAAATTCTTGCCTCCTGCCACAAAAAGAAATCAGGAATAGGTCATGGTTTCCTATTTTCAGCAGTGGTTTTAATATTCAGCTCCTGGGTAAAATTCACATCTTTGTCCTTTTTCATATTTCTTTGTATTCCCACTTCAGCATTTAAGATACCATGAAACACTGGGTTAGAAAACAGAACACAGGTTCTCTAATGTGCCTTTGCCCCTTTATATTGCTTACTGCAAGAAAGCTGGGGGAGCAACTCTGTCTCTTGCCTCAACTCCTATTAACTCTTTGCACACTACAGTGAAGTAAGGTGTGGATTTGATTGAAGCATGTCACACCTTCCCAGAGCTTAACTGATACCTGTCTTGCTTGGTGATGAGTCTTTGCCTATTACTTTGTAATAAGTAGATGATGAGGTTCTCAATTTCCCTTTTTTGTTGTTGTTGTTTTTTGTTGGGTTTTTTTAGTGGTGTTATCTTCTATTTTTAAATTCAGATTGGTAGAGCAACTGCTCAAAGCAATCAGGAACTAAAGTGTAAGGGATATAGCAGTGTAAGAAGTGCAATGCAACAGTGATTTTGGCTTTTGTAGATGGCATTCTGTGAGGTTCCAGGAACTTGCTTAAAAATATGAGGTAACTAACTGTCTTGTCTTATTTTGTTCAGTTCCGTGTCACTGCCTGTGTTTCTACAGCCAGTCTATCTGATTTTTTGACACTCCTCCTTGTACTCCTTGCCCTACCTTGTCCTTGGCTTCTTGTGGTGGCAGTGACCATTATTCTGGTAGCATCAGTCTTGCTGGAGGTTTCCATGCATGAGGATGACTTCTTTCTTCTGGTTTAAACACCTATAATGGAAGCAGCTAGGCTGGTTTCTCTCTCTTCTTTTCTGCTTCTTTTTAGGCCTCTTAGCATGTTACTTGGAATGTGCAGCTCAATTGTTGTTAAATCATCTGAAAGTAAGAAGAATCAGTGTTATTCACACTCCTTTCTGTAGATCACAGTGCTCCTAAAATTAAGTTCTAGTTGATGATCTTAAGGTAAACGAAAGAAACGAGAAAGAAGTGTAGGAGGAGTAATGGCAGTGCTGTTCACTACTTTCCTTATTACATTGGAGTTCCTCATTTTCTAGATAAGAAGAGTTTTCTAACTTATTGGTTAGCATTCCTGGGATCAGGAATCAATTTGTACTATAGGGTTTTTCTCACTGTCTCTGAGTTACAGTTCTCCAAAAGAAACATATCTTCTAGGCAAATATGTGCAGCTGCATTTGTGAGTTTGCCCACAATGACCGAAGGCAGGTGTCTTAAGTGTCTGAGCTTCCCAAAGAGCGATGTGATTTTCATATGAATTGTAACTGGCCTAAGCAACCAGAAAAGAATCCAGTTAGTATCATAGAGCTGTGCTGTATCTGCAGTTTTGATAGTTATGGAGTAGTTACCTTTTATCTCTTGCTACAACTCGAGATTAGCCTTTGGGGCGGAGGGGGGTGACACACAGGATGACATGGGCACTAAGTAAGGAGGTGTCATTGTAGTCTCTCTTCCCTCCTGTGGCAGAGCCATCTTCTGATCCTACATGTCACTGGTTCATCAGGCTAAGAGCCCTTTTTTGGTACTGATCCAGAACTTAATACAGTATATTCTGGGCTCTGAAATATGTGTAATGTAACTCTGGATCCCGTGAGTGACTGAAGGAGACTGTAAATAGACCCTTTGTTTCCTGTTTAGTAGTAGTTTAGATGAACTAGAACCATCCCTTTTATTTAGTTGTTTTCCAGTAACATTGTTAGCATTCTGTCTGAAACATGAGACTGACCTATATCAAATAGCAAAGGTACTTGGTTATCATCATACAACCTACCGAATTTGTGTGTCTTTGTGTGTTGAATATTTGGTTATGTTGCCACTGTAGTCACTATTTGTCATAAGCAAAATTGGTTTGTGGGGGATTAGTGGTTTGAGTTGTGTTTAGCTCATGTGATTCTGTTTCTTTATTGTTTTGGATTGTAGAACTGGACAACAAAGCTTGAAATAATGAATCTCTGTGTGAGGTAATGTGATATAGTGGTTTTTATAAAAACTATTTTCTTTAACCTTCCTAGAAAGAATGAGGGTATTGTATTTCTACTATCTGATGCAGCTATTCCAGGAGAGAATAATACTTAACAAATTCAATGTTAAAAGTGATGATGAAATATGTTTTATTCAGACCTTGTTGACTCTTTGTGTTTTCTTCACCCCCTAGACAAACGTGTTGATGATTGGCCCTTGATGCAGTCTCCATTTCCAACACTGACCATAAGCACTATTTATCTCCTCACTGTCTGGCTGGGCCCCAAATGGATGAAGACGAGAGAGCCCTTCCAGTTACGCTTCCTGTTGGTTGTTTACAACTTTGGAATGGTTCTGCTCAACTTCTTCATTTTCAAAGAGGTATATATGCCCTCTCACAAGAGGGAATTCTTGTTTAGGTTTGAGAATATCTGCAGGTTCCAAAATGAAAATAATCTTACGTATTCATGATGTCTGTTGAGAGTGAGCATGATGCACAGACTTTTAAAGATGAGTTTGCCTTTGTTGCAAGTATTTCTATAGCTGGGTACTTTCTGTTTGAGAAAAAATGCACTAAATGAATCTATAGAGAGAATTTGTGTACTAGCTATTCCAAGTCTGTCTTAGATTTATGTTAGTCTAAATACTGGACAGAATAAGTAAAATCTGTAAAAATTTAACACTGATGACTGATACTTTTTTTCTGTTTTAATACACTCTGAGACCCTTTAGGATTATCTTGTTAGAAATTGAACTGTTTGTGCCTTCAATGTGTTTATAATTTTCAGAAATTCAAATGTTCATTATCTGTAGCGAGGAAAAGTATCTTGTCTGTAAGTTATATTTTAGAATAAGACTGATGTGAACTGTATCTGTAAATAAAAATAAAAGGATACAGTCTTCTAATATTTGCTTTGGAATGTCCTGAACACGTTCATTTTAGTAAATTTCGGTGTCACTACATTTGTTAGGTTTCTGTACAGAGGAAATGAGTAGTAACAATGCAGTGGATCATTTCTGTAGCTGTAGCTAATTGAGATTACTTAGCAGTTTAGTAATCATTATTCAAGGATAGCTGTACAGAATATGGCTGATGCTAAGTTTGTGCTGCTGTGACTTTGCTTGTGTGGATCAAGAGTCATCTTCCTGAAAGACCTCGGATCATAAATTTTCAAAATCTATTTCCAGAAGAAAGGAAATGAAGAGAGCAGTTAAAATTACAGCATTGCAGAACTCTCTGGCTTAGCTGTTCTATACTTTTGCCAGGAAAGCATGGCATGTCTGATGATGATCTGCATACTGACCCTTCCCCAGAGCTTCTATAGCAAAGTCATTGACTGATTTCAACCTCTATTGAAGTTATGGTTCAGTAACATTTTAGTCATCAGACCTCAGTCATCGTTTTGTCTAAATTGTTTCCTTGTATTATTCAACGAAGTAATAAAATGCTACAGGTACAGCAGAATTTAATGCTGACACCCAAGCATAGCTGTGGGAAGAGTTGAAATCAGATCATCTTGTCAGGTTAAAACTGAAACTCCTCTGAAAGGAATTCTGCGCTGTTATTGCCATGCCTTTTTGACTTATCGTTTAAACTGGTTTGTTTTATCCATATACTGAATTATACCAAACTTATGGTCAATTAATTTTCAAACCTATGTTGCTTATAAGGTAAGTACCATGTGTTTGTGGCATTTCCAAGTCACTGAATTAGCATAAAAATGGTTGGGGCTGTAAATAGGTTTGCTGCTGCTAGGCTGAAGGCTCATGATTTTAGACAGCATTCTAGTTTCCTGCTCTCTGAAATGGTCAGTTGTTGCTCCATGGATGTTAAGGCTATGGATACAACATTTACAGGAAGTGTCTCTTCTTGATCTTTGAGACTGATAGGAGGAAGGTGTTCAAGTTTCAGTTGTTCCCTTTAACCAGGCAACTTCTCCTTCCATCTACCTGATGTTTGCAATACCAGTGTGCCACTGTTGTAATTCATAGGAGTAATGTAGCTATTATGAGTAAAATGATACACAGTTGGTATTTTGTGGATGACTGTGAAGTTTCCAGACACTGCTGAGATCAGAATTGGAATGTGAAATGCCTTTTAATGTTATTTAAATAACCATCCTGATGGCAAGATGTTTCATTCATCTGTGGTAACTTGTGACAAATGGTAACTCCATAAGGTTGTCTAGTCCAAGACTCCCATACACTGGACTCAAATTCAGGTTCAAATTAGGAGCAAATTTTGCTAGAACCTGCAGAAGTCCTGCATGTATAGACCCTATTTTGCCACAAAATCATGAATTTCTTATTCTACTTTGAGGCAGTCTGGTGAAGTCAATTTACTGCCTTTTGCCAAGGGAACATTGGTCAAGTTATCCAGTAGGTCACAGTAGAGTTTGATTGGTTTTTGTAATAGTGTGGACTAAACTTTCCCAGCACATTTGGTAGTATCCAATGTGCTCATGCCTGTGTGGGTCCACACTGGAGAGCAGCAGTCTTAGAGCAGTTTGAAAATGGACTTGGATGTTGCAGAAGTAGTTCAGTTTCTTTTCTAGGATAATTTCTGTGGACAGTTCTTTCATTTACCTACTTTAACAGACATGTGCAGCAAGTAAGTGCAGAGGTTCACTAGGTTTTGTATGTTGGGTTTTTTTTCTGGATAACACTTATCTCTGCATCTGACTGCACTCCTAGTGCTGTGTGCAGAGTGAGATAGCAAAGTAAACTCAAGTTCAGTCTAAATAAGGTAGAAATCAGGTTAGTGGTAAGAGAAGTCACTGCCTACCTGTGTTTATTTTGGAGATCTTTTTCCATCACCCTTCTTTACTTTTACAGCTCCCAATTTACAGGTTATGACTGCTACACTGCTGTCTCTTTTTGATCCTTAACAGGGTAGGATTACTTGGCTTTAAACAATCTCTGGTCATGGCTTTAAAGAATCTTGGATCATAACATTTATGAATGTCAGGATTAGAAGTATTACTTGAACTTTGTACAGCTCTAGACAGATGCACTTCTGTCCAAAGGGAACTTCCTCAAATGTCAAGTTTATCTTCTCCTGCCCAGGTTATTGCAATGTGCTTGGTTTGAAGTGGCCCTACAGGAGCACTTTATATGCTTTAGGCCATGTCTGTTGGCACAAAACGGGGAACTTTTCTCCATCCATTTTCTCTCAGTGTGTTTTATGGGTGCTTAGATTTGGCTGCTCAAGGTGGGGTTTTTCTGGATTTTCATTGTTACACTGTGTCAAGAATCATAGATCCAAATTATCTAATCCCTGTCTCTTGAATAGACTTCTCTCGAATCCATCCTGGAAATAGCATTTCTGTCAGTTGTAGTGGAAGCAATTAGGTATTTTCTGTCTCTGAAGCTAGAGCCATCAGAAAGAAAGAATATTTGTATTTGAGTGGCTTAAGGCCATACTGGAATTTGTAGTAACTTGTATGGGGCTCTCATTATCTGGACAAATACAGGCAGGGAAAAATTAGTACTTTCTTTTTAATTTATATGAAAAAAAATCAGTACTGTGCAACAATGGGTTGTTAGAACTAAATATTGGCTTTCTTCAATAGTATTCTTGGAACCAATAAAGATATTGAAAGTATTTCTGTTCAATTAAGTTTTATGTAGCAAGAAATTTGTTGATAATTTTTATAAATGTGTTTTATGTAGTATCTTTCCCCTCATGTATGACTTTAATATTTTCAGCTGTTCTTGTCATCAAGAGCTCGAGGGTACAGCTATGTCTGCCAGACTGTGGATTATTCAGATAATGTTTATGAAGTTAGGGTGAGTATTTCTTTTTCTTTTTTGTATTTGCATATGAATGTGTGTAATATATAGCACTACATGATGGTTTAAGTCTTGACTGAAAATAATGTTTCCAAAGTTCTGCTGTCAGCCACGACTGGTTCCCGTTACATTCTCACAGATCACTTCAGGTTTGACCACATTGTACATAGCAGTTTAATCAAAGTGCATCAGCATATTTGCATTAACTTTCATCTGAATGCTACAAGTAAGGGTAGTCTTAAAGATACCATCCCTGGCTTCATCAGTCTAGGATAAGCTTTGTATACATACTCTGGTTCCTAGATCTTGCTGAAGTTTATGATCCCAGGGTAACCACAGTAAAGGTGTTGTGTTCTAGCTAGATCAAAGCAAGTAAGATTTATTTGTCTGCATGTATTGTGGTGGTACTTCACCTCTGCTGGTGAGGCAACTTTTTGTCTCCTTTACCAATGTTTGGCTTCATGAGGTCCTGCTGGCTTCTGGCAAATGTGTTATAAGTACATTTCATTGTAGAATCTTAGATTTCAAATCTGTGGGTTTTGGAAAGCATTCAAATTAAAATAAAAGTGCAGATGCTTGTTAATTTTTGTAATGCTGTTGATTAGCTCATGTACTAAACGTTATCTTCCAGCAGAGCTGACGCTTGAGAATCTCTCAGCTGTTCTTGCAAGTCTCACCTACAGATTAGAACATGTTCCTGAAAATGTAATGAAAATATGGTATAGTCTAAATACATTTCATGTTTATAACACATCTTGAAAAATACCTTTCCCAAACCAGCACATCTGCCTACAAGGTGGCTGTTTGTGGATAGTATTGCTCAAAAGCTTCTGCATGTGGCAGGGGTGGTAGTGAGAAAGAAAGGTTTGAGTCTTAGGCCTTATATATAATGGCTGATATTGCAGAATAGCTCTGTGTGTAGATTTTATTGGCCTTATGATAGTTGCCAATCTTTCACCTTTGTCAATACCATGCTCTCACTATTGCAATCACTGGAATGCTCCTGTTAGTAAGTGTTGAAAAACAAGATCTAGCAAAGTATAAGAAGTACTTGTCAGGTTGGGGGTTTTTTTTAATAGATAAGCAAAATGGAATGCCCTTGTACTCAGAATTTTTGTAGTAGCTAAGTACAAGAGGTATGACTTAGTGTGAAAAAACTCTGTTTCATAGCCTCATTTTTGGGTGCACTATTTTGTGGGAGGCAGTGGAGAGATCAAACCTGTTCAAAGGACTTATCATCTATTTTGTTTGTCATGACAAACAAAGCATTATTTTACAATGAAATAAAGATAAAATGACCTGCAGAATGTTTTTATAGCACATCATATGCCTAGAAAAGGACTGCTCTAGCAATATGTAGTCTTAGGATTTCCCAACTTTTTAATTTCTTTTGCAAACTGATGGATTTGCATAAAAAATTATTTCTGAAGTTTTAATTTGTAGCATGTTGAGTTTGCAGATGACACAGTCAAGGAAGCAAGGAAAATTGAGTTCTCTCAAGTTGTTGCAACAACTGTATGGTATGCTGTCTGTCAAGACTGTTATTTTGATCACTTTCAGGTAGTTCTTTTGAATGAATCTCAATTTAGGTAAATTAATTGCAAGTAGGAAATTATGCTTTCTACGAGTGTATTTTATCTAATGGAGGAGTCTGAGTTACAGTTTTGTTCTGCTTTACAGTGTATCATGCTCTGAATTTAGAAAGTATATTGTTATTTTTTGACACTGTTGGACAAAATACTCCAAAAAACCCCCAAACCACCTCAAGACTCCTTTCACCATTGTTTTCAGTGTTTCATCATAGGTTTCACCGTAAACCTGCAAAAGCAGGTTTTGAGTTTACAATTGATTAACATTGTAGCACATCTCTCACACCCTTTTAATAGATCTAGATACTAAATGTCTAGCATCTATTGGCACCAGGTTTGCTCTGAAGAGAAATGCTGCAGTGCAACAGTAGAATTAATTACAAAGGCAATGACTTTATCTGTAACAGAACAAGTAAATAAGTCCTGTATTGCTCAGATAAAGGAGGCTGGGACTAACTCCAATGGAAACAGCAGTGAGCCCAGCAAGCATTACAGACTGTGCTCTGGAAAGCAACAGATTGAGCTATGACTTTATTGTGGGGCTTAGAAGTCTGCAACAGTTATTCAGAGATGTGAAACTAGTTGCATATGGTAATCTAAATGGCAACACAAAAGCCTTGGTATGACCTCTGTTTCTGTCTTTTGGGAAATGTGCTGCTGTGATGTTGCCATGTAATGGCCCCTTTTGACCATAGCTCTGGATCAAAATGAGGGGTCAAGAAACTGTTCTTTGTCTCTCAAGGGAGTACAGAGAGCTGGTAAACAGCTCCCCCAAAAAAAGTTAGGCAAAAGTCTTTCATTTCCTCTCCAACCCACATCGTGTGTCAAGATGGTAAGCCAGTGGTGATTCTAAGAGAACAGTGTAAGAGCATGTGGTGGCACTTCCCCTGTATAGTCTAGCAACACCAGCAGTCTGGAGCTCACAGACCTCTTTAGTCAGACATAGCCAATTTGTTTTGTCAGTTTTGAAGATGCTATTTTTACATGAATTTGCCTGTATGTTTTCTTCAACTTTATCAAGCTTCTGGCTTTCACTGGCAATTAATTCTGTAGGTAGATTACACACAATATGAAGAAGATGGTCATCCTACTTACTGTTTTGAACCTACCTACTCCTGTTAATCTCACTCAGACTCCCCTGGCTGCTCTACAAGAGGCAATGGACAAAGTGATGAAAAACAGACTCCACACTCACAGAAAAGAACTCCTTTATGAAGGACTTAAGTGTGTTGTTACGAAAAAAATTCAAATGTTCATAGTAGACAAGAAAGGAAAAGGGGAAACAAATCTCCAAGAAGAGATTTGAAAGGAGCTGCAGCTACATCTTGAAAAATCTTTCTTGGTTAAAGCTTAAGAGACAAAATAATAAATGCCAAGGGCTGAGGTGTTAAATCCATGCTATGTAGTACTCTTTTGGGAGCTTCAGGATTTGAAGTGCACGGTTTCCTAACACTGTCTAATTTAAGGTATGTTAGTGTCTGTGAGTAGTTGTGAGTAGTCATTTTCCTCCCCTCTGCTTACACCTGTGTGTCCTTGTTTCCCAGGTCAAGGTTCATCTATTTTATTAGCATTTCTGAAGAGCTAAGAATTGGAAATATGGGGTTGTATATTCTTAGTTTTAAGTGTGCTGATTGTAATCATGAAGCTGAGCAATGTCTGTATTGTAATTGTAATCCTCATTGTTTGTAGTTATGTCTAGAGCTTGAGTAGCTTCCTCTCATTAAAAAAAGTAAATTAATTTACTTTAAACTTCTGTGAAAAGGGAACTTGATTTAACCAGTCAAATCCTGTAAACAAAATTCTTTAACTGAAATAGGGAAAAGAGTTCTCTTTAAAAGCCGCTTAAAATTTTCCTATTACTGTTACATTGCAAGAAGTACCTGTTCCTTCAAACCCCTTAATGGATAACTATCTCCAACCCAAACTGAAGAAGGATCATGCCAAAGTGGAGTCCTGTGTTAAAGCAGTTGTCCATTCAAAAGCCCTGCAGCAAGCAGAGGACATGGGATTGGACCTCTTGTTGACCCCCTTAATCCTAGGCTGTAATGTAATCTTTCTGTGCCATCTGGTGTTTTAACAGACTTAGATTAGCACATATGAAAACTACCAGAAAAGTTATGGTTGTGGCTAATATTGCTCATTACAGGAATATGCCTTTTTAATGCATATTCTCTTTTAAACTATTTCTTTCTTTACGCTGCGTCCCAAGAATGACTACAGGTTAAGTCCCAATTTCTGATGCTTTGCAAAAGAAGTTTAATAGTTGCCACCTGCTCCCAACATAGCTTACATATTGGTGTATTGTTCTACTTTATTTCTGTCCTCCATCACTGATTGCATGCATCACCTTGGGCAAATGACATCTGTTTCTTTTTCTTTTTCTTTAAGTTAATGATGAAAACATCTATATAAGTCACTGGAAGCGCTGAAATAGATCATCAGTATAGAAAACAACAGGTTTGAGGGTGCATGTAGTAAAATTTGATGATAGGAAGAGCAAAGAGGCTGACAGGCAAAAAAAAATCTACAGGAACAGAAGATGAGCAGGTATAATCCTACAAAGAAATATAGGCTAGGGGTTTTGTTGTTGTTGTTCTTAATTGATAGGAAGTATTTTGATCAGATGATTTTTATCCATGGGTTGTAGTTGCTTTTTGTGCAAGGCAGGTGGAATTCAAAAGAAGATGAAGGAGGTGTTTTAAATTACTTGTCCAGGAGCATATACTGAACCTGTGGCATTTTGGTCTTTAAACATAAGGGTTTTGTAGTATTTTTCTCCACTTGCATTTTGCTCTATCTCATACAGTAAACTGGCTATTTGCTTATTGTCTCCTTGTTCCACTGTTTCACTAACCAAAATGCCTGTTTGCTTTTTAAGAGAGATTATGGCAGTTTGCTTATAACTGACCTATTGATTCTTTAAAAGGACCTCCAGAGAGCTAAAGTGTTGCAGTGCTGGCTTGTCATTTTATGGATACAACCCAAAGTGTTTATTGTTAACTCATGAGAAGAAAAGATGCTTATCTTAATTTATTTAAGAGGTGCAACTTTAGCAAAGATCTGTAAAAGATGCTGGACTGCTATGCTAATCTATGGGTGTGAGACAAACCTTGATGTGGGTGTTATTAAACACCTTGCTACCTGTCCCAGAGGCAGCTCTGTACTAGATATTGAGCAATATATATATTGATGGTTCTTGCAACTTGCCTCTGTGTCTGGGAACACCACGATCTGTGGGAGTCACTTTTCTCTCATAAGCCACTCTCCAAGTTTGACAGATAGTATGTTTTTTTGTCAAACTGGCAAAATCTGCCTCCCCTTCCTGAGACCTGCAGTTGGCTAAATCACATCCAAAGGCTGAGAAGGGTGTTGAGTAATGGATACACAGAAGTCTGCAGTTTGGCAGCAGTAGGATGTTCAGTCCCTTTGGGAAACTGCAGTCTGCAATGCAGATCTGCAGCACTTTCTTCCTGTGCTGCTTTTTTGCTTCTGCTGTAATTTCTCCTGGAATGTTCACCAGTCCAATTATGGCTGTGACAAACCTACTCTGAGGAGAGTTCCTTTCTCACTAGTTTGCAGAGTTGAAGGAAAATACCATGCAGGATAGTAGCACTGCTCTGTGCAGCTCATTCTTCTGATTCCCCTTTCTCTGTCTTGTCTATGTGTGTAGTTGGGAAGGGAAGCTACTCTGTGTTAGCTTTTTTTCCTTCTGTCTCCCCTGGGGATTGAGGGGGTGGTGGGGTTATTTCACACCATGTTAAGGTAAGAAAGGCTGGTTTGCCATCAACTGAGTCCTGAAAGACAAGGTGAACTTCTTACAAATGTGTGTTGTGACATTGCCTGCTCTCCTTGCTGGTGGTACCAATTCCAACTTTTTTTTTTTCCTTTTTCATTCTCTATGTGAGTCACCATCTGGGATATGTTCTGGTCCCACCCTTGCATAACAAGCTCTATGACTTACGATGCCAGGAACTAGACTTGTTGCTATGTTTTGGGATCTGGAAGAGTCCCTGCCACTACCACACTCCCATATCATAGTATTAGCAAATTGCTACACACAGCTTCTGGGCTTTACTCATTCAACAGTATTCTGATTCCAGCAGGAAGCTGTGCTTATGTTGCATCTTGGGCAAGATTCACTGTGATGGGTGGATTCAAAAAAGAATTTTGGGTGTGTAGCACTGCACTGTTGGATAGATGGGTTATATCTCTGCAGCTTTGGTCTCTTTTCTTCTATGGTCTCATTTCTTCTATTCCCTGAATGGCACAGAGCCACTGGGGAAATGCTGCTCTCCAGAGGGCCAGAAGAAGCAGGGGGGAATATCACTCTAAGGCATGTGATGTCTGTACTGCACCTAACTTGTAAGAGTGATTTAGTATCTTTCCACCTATATGCCTGTGGTATTGAAAGTATTTTATGTAAGTTTTCAACCTCTGCAACGTCACTTTATCATAGTCTTTCTGCCTCGTTGTTCTGACTACATCAAAATGTTGCCTCACTAGTAGGGGAAGCCCTGTAGTAGTTTTCTTCCACAAAGCCCAGAATAGAGAGTGAGGACACAAACTCCCTGTGTTTAACTGGTAAACTCTTCAGACATGGCAAAGATTTTAACTGTATTAGCACTTTTTTATGGTTGTGATTTGTGAGCAGTAGACTCAGAATAATTGACTTTCATGTCCAGAATAGATGAATGAAGTTTTGTTTTTGTTGTTGTTCTCATACCATCAGATGTTTGATGATGCCACCTCAGCATTTACCAGGATTTGGGGAAGGAAGAGAGATCCTTCTCTTGCAGCATGTGGAGAGAACGTTACCTCGTTCAGCCTGGAGTCACTAAAACTTACGTATTGTCTGTTTTTCATTGCAGATAGCTGCTGCTTTATGGTGGTATTATGTCTCTAAAGGAATTGAATATTTGGATACAGTATTCTTCATCCTGAGGAAGAAATTTAACCAAATTAGTTTCCTTCATGTCTATCACCATTTCACCATGTTCACCTTGTGGTGGATTGGTATTAAGTGGGTTGCAGGTGGACAAGGTGAGTTCCCTTCCTCCCATAACATTTTGACTGAGTACAAGGGAGAATTGTTACTGTTTGGGAGCAATGGAAAGAAGTTTCATAGACTTGAGTTTATAATGCACAAGACTGTTTGTTTATTAATGTGTACAGTCTTCCTCTGTGGGAAATATGGGGGAGGAAAAGATAACAGGGCAATAATCTAATGAATTGCAAAACTTTTTTTCTTTCCCTCATGGGCATCAATTGCAAGTGTGAAGTTCTACCTTCAGAAGTGAAGTTCTGTATGAAGCAGAAAGATGTATACATCTTGCCTAACTTTAATTTTTGCACATACAGAGAACTGCAAAATCTAATTATGGGCCACAGTCTGTGTGCAAATGTGATGAAGTTAGTGAAGGTGTTATTTTGGCATTGTATCTGAGTTTGAGGTTTACTTTCTTTTTTACAAAGAGGCATGTATAAAATTCTGAAACCTTCCCTTGGAGGTGAGCCAGTGAATCTGTCGATTCACTTATTAAAACCTATTCATAATGACACGAGTCTTTAATTTGTTATCACCCTTTTATTTTCCTTGCACCCTTTCTAAAGCCTCCATCAAATAATTTTATTCCATTGTGCTTACCACATCCTCCCTTGCCTGCATTGTACCCTTATTCCTCTTGTTTTGCCATGTCTCTCAAATTACAAGCTCTGTAGAGCTGAGGGTACAGGGAAAATGCCCTGGTTTGTTTGTAATGTGCTTTGTAGGCTTATGACACTGAAAATACCATATAGTAAACACCACACCAAAGTAATACCTTGTGTTTGGTTTTGTTTTGTTTTGTTTTGTTGTGGGGTTTTTTTCAAACCACACTAATACTTAATGCATGGGGGCTTTATGCTGCCATTTACTATAGGTCTCTTGTACTGAGTGCTCACTAATATTCAGAAGAAGAAATATAGAAAATTAGTATTTGTGTCTGTCTTTTAATTCCTGCTAAGTAATCTGCAAGATACAGGTAGTCAACCAGACTTTTCATGATCTTTATTGGCAACTGCACCTGTAAAATAAGTTTATTGGAGATTGGGTGGTCACTTGTTATCTTGCTTAGAAATTCTCTGGATGTCTCAAAATGCCATCTCCCTTGTTGCCTTTTCAGAGTTTCCATGCTAAATATCAGCAGTTTTCCATGTAATACTTGCAACGATTTCCAATTTTCTTTCAAGTTTTGGTGTTCTTACACTGCCTCTTAGTTTCTAGACCCTGCAAAAGGAAAAGCAGTCGTTGCTTTTCTGCATTTATGTAGCACTACTGCATAAATGTGGATAGATCTGTGTTCTTCTGTTTTCTAGTTGATAGCACATTGCTTACATAGACAGGTCTATTATAAACTAGACCCTATTATAACTAACTGTGTCTAGACCACATGGGCATCTGAGCTGTCAGCAGCTATTGTCTGTATTGCCCTAATCTTATACATTAGGGACTTTTTGAGCCTCTCTGTCAGTGTAAGAATACCTTAACAAGATATAATGTGTTTCTGATAAATGGCTACTAATCTTGACAAAGCAAAGAGATCTTAATGCAAACGAAACTGTCGTCTTTATTTCCAACATGGATCATGCTGGAAAATGTTATACCATATATTTGTATATGTAAGAATGCTGGATATTTTAAATCATAAATAAAGAAACTAAAAATAAGCAATTTAGATAAACTTACCTAAAAGTTCATATAATCACAAGTCAGATTTTGCTTTGTATGATTTTTTTTTTGCCCTATTTAATCAGACCTCCATGTGAGTTTCTTGACTTCTTGCTGAGAAGTGAACCTTGTGCATTTCAATACAGTTTAAAAGACTTAAGTTTAGAACCTGATACTTTATCTTTCCATTGTCAAATACAGCTTTTTGCAGTCCTTTAGTAAACAGCCTTTAGTAAAACGATTGCATTTATGCTACAACAACTCATGTGGAATCCATGTCATGTATGTCTGTTCAATAAAAATCTTAGGGGAAGCTTTTGCATAAATAGTTCCATCAAAGGTGTGACATATCACTTGCATGAACAGCTCTTTGTGTCAGCAGATGTTGACAGTCAGGTCTGTGCTATACTATCAAATATTCTGAAGATGGAATCCTGACATGTCCTGTGCTTTATAATTTTTGCTGTCACATGAATAATACTAGAAAAGATTTACTTTCAAAATTACATGATGATCTTCCCTTCTGACCCTGGACAGCTTTCTTTGGAGCTCAAATGAATGCATTTATCCACGTCATCATGTACATGTATTATGGATTAGCAGCCTGTGGCCCTAAATTTCAGAAGTACCTGTGGTGGAAACGATACTTGACCATATTGCAATTGGTAAGTGAAACTTCTCACTTTCCCTCAAAAGGTATTCCCTCTGAGTGGATTTGCATTTGCAGAGCTTTGGAACAGATGCTGCTACTTCTAAAAGTTCTTTGCTGTCTGATACTTACAGCTCAAGTTAGAATATTTCCTGGAGATGAAACATTTATTCAGTTTCTCTAAAAATATGCAGCATAGATTAGAGTTGTGTGAGTTAATGTCTAATATTTCCTTGCTGGTTGTTTTTGCAAAAACGTGTTCAAAAGGCAGATAAAATCCAGATCTCTTATCTCCTCATTTTCTGTATTTCTGAAAACTGGTGCCAGGTACTACAATAAATGTGATGTTCCTGGTCAAGCATATGTGTGTGTGCATGAATGGAACAGCCAAATACACCTTTCCTACCACCTCCAGAGTTAACAGTTTTCATAACTTAATGCATTGGTATACATTGGTGCAGTCAGACCTACAGAATATAGCTATACCTTTTTGATTCTGTATTTTCTGTCTTTCAGGTGCAGTTCCATGTGACTATTGGCCACACAGCCTTGTCTATTTATATTGATTGTCCTTTCCCTAAATGGATGCACTGGGGTGTAATTTTCTATGCTGTCACCTTCATTTTCCTGTTTGGGAACTTCTACTATCGGACATATAAGCTGCCCAAGGAACCCGTAAAGAATGGCAAAATAGCAAATGGTGCTGTTGCAAATGGAGTAAGCAAACCAGAAAATAATGCAGTGGTGGAAAATGGCAAAAAGCAGAAAAAGGGAAAAGCAAAAGGAGAGTAACTTGATCCAGGCCTTAACCATTGTTGGCAGTGAGGAACCTCCAGTTTGGTTTATAAAAGGAAGAAAAAAACACTATCTGTACCAATTAACCTTAGGTTACTGAAGAGCTAGAACACAGATATTTTCATTATTTATGAAGATTGTTTTAAGAACAACACTAAAGTTGAATTTCTATTGTAATTATGTAATTATCATGCATATGGTCTCTGTGTAAACTTGTAGACTGCTGGTGTTGGTGAATGTAAGGAAGAATTGCAGTTGATTCCATGTTTAGCAGTCCAAAAGTTAATACTACCACTGATACAGGAAGTTTTGTTGGCACCCACATTTCTTTGGGGGGTGGGGAGGGGAAGGAAGTAGCGTTTGGATACTTGTGTTTCTTTCCAGAAAATTATTAAATTTCAAATTATGACATATTATCTAATCAGAATGTGCAACGTTTCTTGTCCTCCTTGGAGAGTATCTTCAGACACATTATGTGCTGTCAGAACAGTGTTTGACTTTTCAGACATTACTTGATTTAATTGATTATCTGTTACAGTTTGGTTTTTGTTTTTTTGGTTTTCTTTTTTTTTTTCTTGTGTGGAAATATACCTACCTCTTCATCTGCTGAAAAGAATATTGAGCATTAAATAACTGGTTTCTGAAATATGGAGTCCTCTAATCTAAATATCCGTTAACACTAATTCAGGAGAAAAATATGATTTCCTGTGGGAATAAAAGGGATTTTTGGTGGTATTTTTTGATCAAGTCATCAATAACCTTTTTTAATGTAAGCTAAAATTTTTTGAGTGGTACTTTTAGTATAGCTAAGTGAAGAAAACATTTTAAGAATGTATAAATATAAAATAATACATTGTTTGAAGCAAGCAGTAAAAGTAGGCCTGCTGCTTGTTGTCTGTGACCTGCATTAAACCTGTGGCACTGACTGATACTGAAAATGGTAAGATAATGTTCTGGTAGAGAGAAAACAGCAACTTGTAATTCCATTTAGAAATGCTGTGTGCAGGGGTAGTCATGCTAACCACAGGACAGTCACTTTATTGGGAGGGAGAATTTGATAAAAAAGAACTAAATGCAGCAAACAAAATGCTGAAAATGTTGTTACTGCTTGATACCTGTCAAGACTCTTGTTAGACACTTGCAGACAAAGTATTTCTAGTGGTCAGACTACCATTTTTAATCAAAACTGTTAAAATAAATTGAAGCCTTTTAGATGGTTTTTCATTTGTATGTTGCATAATGGACTTCTTACCATTTCTTTTGGGAAGAAAACAGGAAAAGACTTATTCTCCTTCCCAGTCATGTGATTGCTAAGAGATATTTTGAGCTACTCAGGATGCAATGAGTATAGGACAGGGGTGGAATTAGTAAACATGTCCTGAACTCCTGTGTTCCTTGCTCATCACTGCAAGAGCTGTATTGTTGCTGTCCCCACAGCTCTGCTCAAAAACCTATTCACAGGTAGCAATAAACTTGCATCTGGCTAGTGGCACCACTGCTGCAGGAAATAGGTACATGGAGCTGAAGGTGTAAAGTGTGTGACATGTTTAATAGATTTTGCATCTTGATTATCCATTTGTCTGTTTATAATATGCAAGCAGGTCACATCTTCTGTGTCTCAGGTTTGTCTCTATACAACAAAACACATCTAAACCCAAAAAAGTGACCCTAGGAAAAAGAGTTTTGGATATAGTCTGTTTTATTCAAAAGTAATTCTTAATGCTGGAGTTGGTTCAGCTGTAAGATAGTTCATCCATAATCGCCACCACTTTGGATTTTATGGCAGAATATAGAATTGTGAAAGAATGTCTCTGCTGAACTGTAATGCATGTGACCATTAAGCTTCCTATCTGCTGTGTCTTGTGATTCTTCCAGCCTTTGTACTTTTTGCATTTGCATAACTCTCTGTGTTTATGTAGTGTGGTATGGGGAAGAGGGATGGTGGTCTACCCTTCCTTCTTGGATAAATGCCACTACCCTTACCAAGCCAAAGTGCTGGCTGACTGGGTAACTTTGGAATGGCTAAAGGAGTAAATAACTACCAGGCAGGTTAGCAGATTTACAGCACACCTGCTGCTCCAGGGGAATGGCTGGTGTGAATACACTTGCCCTACTGTAAATTCAAGGTAGATTACCCCACTTTGATTAAAGGGTAGCTTCTTTCTATTTGCCATGGGATGTGGGCAGCTAACTTGTAAATCTGTATCATTCCTTGAATTGTGTTAAATTGATTGTTTGCTCTGTCATTCTTTCTGTAAGACAGATCAGATAAACTGATACACCTAATGTGATTTAGCTCTGAAAGAGCATACTGAGGAGTATTCCAGTACAGGTTCAATTATGTCTTTGCTACTCTTTTCAAATTGAGAATTATGTCTTGCATGATGGCAAATATTGAAATAACTGAAAATCAAATCTTTTCTCCCTTCATCATGCATGGAAGTGGCCTAAAAGTTGATTGCAACTTGAACCTTATTGGCAGAACTTGAGTGGAAACCTACTGTCAAACTCTGGGGTAATTGTTAACTTCTCAGAAACAGTGAAAAAGTGCACCATGAGAATGCATGCATACATACAGGTCATCTTGTCTGGCCCTGTGAATAACACCAGTTTGAAAGATTGCCATTTCATGGGGAAAAAAATCAGTTATTAAATGGGTGGAACACTGCTGGTTTGAGTCCATCCTCTGTGATGTGGCTTTCCTAGGTCTATTTATGACATACTTGATTGTTCATGTAACTTGAGTCCCATTACAATCTTGAATATAATGGCCTTATTAAATGTGCATTTTTTTAGGCATGGTCTTGAGTGCAATACTTCTGTTTCTGACTATGCAGCCAGACTCACAGAACACAGGGCTGAACTTGTACAATTTTTTCTTTTTCAAAATTCGAGGCAATGATGCACATGTGACAATATATTAAAGCCATCTGTGATTCCAAGACACCTCAAAATTTTGCCATGAAAGTAATAGAATATATGTATAAATCTGTGTTTGCTATACACAGAATTGAAACTTAAATTATAAAATCTACTTTGCATGTTTGCTGTTTGTTGGGTTGGTTTTTTTTTTCCTTCTAACTCCTTGCAATTTATTTTAAAATGAAATTTAAACCATTTGGAACTTTTCTTTTTTGCCAATGAAAGATAATTTTATTTTATTTTTTGCTAAGAGTTCTGAAGCTCTTAGACCAGAGTCTCATAATTATTTGATGCCATATAAGTAATACCACTTCATTTAGCCTCATCTCTAGCAGTGACAGTTGTTGGATTATTTTAGCACTTTGTCAGTATAAAATAAATACAAATTGTCTATACATGTGTGTGTATATATGTGTGCACATACCTAGTGTATGTGTGTGTGTATATATGTATGGGTTCTTAGCAGATTCTTTCAATATGTGAAGTAAATTATATTTCTTTAATGTGAAGTTGGCAGGAGTAAATAGAACAGCTAATAGCTGTTCCTACAGCTTGAGCAGTGAAACGAAGCAGTTTTCATCCATCCATAGATCCACTATCAGTCTTGCAAACATAGTGTATTTGACAGTCATTTTAGACATAGGATGGCAGAGAGACATTACTCCCAGTGTACTAAATACTTTGAGGCATCAGGTGTAGATTCTGAGGGGAAGGACCTCAACTCAGGGTAGCTGAGGAATTATGCTGTCTTATAGTAGGGATTGTTTTAGGAAACAGTAGGAGTAATTTGCTCCAGGTAAGTCTTTGAAATAATTGCAATCATATTCTCTGTTTAACAAGAATACACTTTTAAAAATAAATCATAGACTCCTAGAACTATTTAGGTTGGAAAAGCCCCTTAAGATGATCAAGTCCAGCCATTAAATAAATATTTCTCTGTAGGTTCAAAAGCATGGCCTATTTGATTCTATGACCATCAGTTACTTCCAGCTCCAGATCAGAGGGAAAAGGTGAAGGCAAAATGAAAATGCTGCACATTTTTTTTTCAGGTTAACCTTAGGGCACATTTCTTCAGAGTAAGCACTTGAACTCCATGTGCTGGGGAAGGCGGTAAGAAAGGTTAAATAGCTTTTGTGCTGCAAGGTCTCACTCCTAAAATAGTTTAGGAGCACACTTGTAATCTCTTAAAAACTTGAGTTAAATTGTTCATGGTGCATAAAGCTAAGCATTGCACAAAGCTAGTGTGGGCTGAGAGAATGTTGAAACAGATCTTTAAAATGAGATCTGTTTCAGTAAAAATTGAAGAGAATGAGGAGCTTCTTTAAGTGTCTGGATAATCTATTTTTCTCGGTTAGAAGCACAGACTTATCCAATTTGACACCTAAAGCAAGTCACCCATCTGACATCTCATTGTATTGTGGTCTGATGCATCAACCTCTTTGCTAACATAAGCAGCCAGAGCTCCATGGAAATCGGTGGGGTGGTTCCCATTTACCTCAGCAGAGTATGTTGGACCCTAAAGAGCAGAAAAAAAGACTTGCTTTCTGCCAATATCCCAGGAGGACGAGGGAAATGTATGGTTCAGGGTGCTGCTTTTGCATAAGGTGTTCATGCTTTTGTAAACATTAAAAATAAACATTACTTTTTACATGCTGTTTGAGTTTGGTTTTATACATTCTGTAGTATGTTCTTCTGTGTCCCATCTTGCTTTGAGATGCTTGCTAATTCTAGTGTTGTGCAGATCATCTGTTTCATAGCCCAGAATTTTGAGGAAAAACATTTTTGTGGTACATCCTGTCATTTTGAGGTTATGGGGACATCCTAATTTTGAATATTGCTCCCAAATAATAGTGTAGTGGCTTTGAAATCACTCCTTGGGAACTGACTGAAAATAGGATGTCCACTTAAACAAAAAAAACAAAACCCTAAGTTTCTTTGTTTGGTTTTGGAAGTATTAACAATTAGGAATACAATTAGCCACATGGATTAGCTTTTGCTGGACACTGTGTTGTGTTAATGTTATCCCGAAGAATCTGGAGCACTTCTGGCAGTAGGTGCAATTCATGGTTACATGTTGCTGTGAACAGTAAGTTCCTTCCTAGTTAATCTGCCAACTATGATCTCTGTAATCAACCTTATAATACTGTGTTGCACCCATGTTGCACTCCTAGCACCTAAGTGCAGATAGCTACTCCTTGTGTCAGGTAGTAGAGAATCAAGTCTGCGTCATTGTAAAATATGGTGTGGTCAATTACCTATTGCATAATTCTCATCTCTTGTTTCAATCCACTGCTTACACCCTCCCTGGAATCAAAATGTACAGTGAGTGTTCAGAGTGGGATTTGTTCCTCAGATGATTAACAGATGCTGGTGGTAGGCTTGCTCTCCAGGCATCTTTTCCATAGAACTTATTCCCCACCAGGAATTAACAATAAAGAACACATGATCACGTGAGATTCATCAGGCTAGAATAGACTGAATCCTCTGTTTTTCATGTTCCATTTTCCTTATTGTATCACTTGCTTAACATCCAGGAAATTGGAGTTAACAGAAGGGGTTTCTTACCTGTTTTCTTGCTGAGCTCAAAGCACTGGGTGAGCACAAGCTGCAGTCTCAGGCACACATGAAGCACATGTTCAAAGACAGCTTTGAAGGCAGTACCTTCTATGGACTAGTGCCTTTCAGTGTCTTTTATGCTTGGGACTTCTTGTAGGTGGCCTCAGG